TGTCTGTCCATACAGATGGATAGAGACTTACCATTTATCGAGTCAGCCACTTATTAAATTAAAGATCATAAAATTAAAATCATTCTTTAACCTACCACACAGAGACAGTCACCATTGGCCTTAGCTATTCACAGAAAGTCATCATGGTATGATGTATGTTATGAATTACTTGGGTTTCTCAATTTTCTCCTTTGTTTCAAAAAAGTATCTAAAGCTTTGTACTACTACACAAAATGAATCAAAGTAAATTTCTAAGAAAATGCTTTATACATTAGGAAATGTTGGGTAGTTTTCTGCACTAACCCTTTAGTGGTTCATTATTTGTCATGTGTAAAGGGATTAGGAAATGTGTTTTTCTAATTAGGAAATTAAATTTCTGAGAATTTGGAGAATAACTGTCAACAAATGGACACCATATATTCTTTATTTCTGTTTTGAAAACTTTATCTCAGACTTCATTCAGTAGACATAAGGGTCTAAAAGTTTAAAAAAGAATTGTTTTAAAAGGAGAATACTATTTAAACAATTCTTATTAGGCCTATATTAAAATGCCCAAATTCCCTGTGCAATAAAAATTAAGAATGAAAAATGATTTTATCTATCACAGGTATATACTTTAGACTTGTGTTTGGATCCCTAGGTGTGTATATGTAATAATTCTGAAATACAAGAAGGTCTATCTCAAGGTGACAATAATAATAAAGTTCACATTTACTTCTTCTATTTCCTTTTCTTAATTCTTATTTATTCCATGTAAAGGAAACTTACTTCTTTCAATGGATGGAAGAAATGTCCCTAGAACAAAAAGTGTGTGTGGAGAAAAGAAATGGTTGAGCTCTCCAACAATCTTTGTCAGGCTTTGCCAAATATGTTACTAGAAAAATGAATTGTGATGTTTTGACTTAATTCCCAATTGGAGGAGAAAATGATCGTATCTCTTTATGTCTTGCTTACTTCTTAGCCTGTTGTTTATTTATTACAATTATAATTAGTGTAAAAATGCTTTATTTAAAATGAATTTAATTGTGCCTTAGAAGAATTTTGTAAGACGAGTTAATTTAGGCAACAGAAAGAAATAGTGTTTTTAGTTTTATGCTTATGATATAAAAGTTTAATCATTTTTAATGATTAATCAATTTTAATTTAATCAATTTTAATCATATCCCTCCCCTAAATTGTCTGTTCTCAACAGCATTTTAAAGAACCAAACACCCTTTTAAAATTACACTCATTTCATTCACTCAACAGATTTTTAATAAGCATCTTGCATGTGCTATGCACTGTTCTGGGTCCTGAAAAAACACAAGAGAAGAGAGGAAATTATTTGTCTTCATGGAATTTATATTCTAGATTTGAAAAAGTTTCTACTGTATGCATTTAGTTCAATAAACATATTGAAGTTCCATGGTATTTTCCTACCTCCTAGGACTATAAGTAGTTGAGGAGATAAAATACTTTGGTAGCTTAAATATCATCTTTCTATAATATCCCTCAATCCTAAATTAATTGTACTCTTGTCTATATTCCTGATAACTTTATATGCCCCTCTATCATAACAAAGATCCTACTGCCTTATACTTTTGTGTTTGCCTGTCTGTCTTCCCTACACTGGTCTCCATGAGGATCAGGATACCGTTTTATTTTTGTCTTCTCCCCATGAAGAGTATAGTGCCTGGCAGTCAATGGCTAGACTTGAAGAGGATTGAATATACAGATTTTGCCCTCAGAAAACTTTTATTTCAATGGGGAAGGGAAAGAAGAAATAGAATTCCTCATTCCTTAAGGAAAGTGAGGTCCAATAAGTGATGGGCTATGTTTGATGTACATTTTCATGTTCAAGGGTTCCCAATAGAATAACAGTTTAAAAGGAGGGTGGGGGGCGGATTTTAACATGCTAAGTGAGGAATGTGAGTTGTCAGCTTCATAAAAGAATACAGTTATTTTTGTAGGTAATTAAATAAAAATTTAAGGGAATCATGTTTATATATGACAGCCACACAGTCTTATATAAACTAAACAAGCCCAAGGATGAAGCAATCGCATCTACAGATAGATAAGCATTTGCTCTATCTTAGGCAAAATTTTAAAAAAAAAGTTAGAATTCCCTCCATAATCTGAGTTTACACACATTTGAATGTTTGGTGAAAATCAAACTGTCTAATTGGAGGATCAGCCGGGAAACAAGGATCAGGTATCCTGCCCCGAAAAACCATACTTCTGCAGTGAATCCCTGTTCATCAGACTGCCTTATCTGTTCCCAGTGCACATGACTCAATGATCCTATACTTGGCTTCAAACAGGCAATGTCTTCTGATTGTAGTTGTCTGATTGAAGTCACCTACATTCTTGGTCACATGGTGTCTTCTCTTTGGATTCATCTGCTCAGGTGTAAACCATATCACCAAGTAGCATGTGAACTATGTGATTGCACATTTTCCATTGCATGTAACATGTAACTTATTTCTGACACACTACTTCTGCGTCTCTTTTCTTGAATGAATTGGAAAGAGCATGAACAAGTTAGTAACAAACGCAGTGAAAATCAAAGTCGCTCAGTCGTGTCCAACTCTTTGCGACCCCATGGACTATACAGTCCATGGAATTCTCCAAGCCAGAATACTGGAGTGGGTAGCCTTTCCCTTCTCCAGGGGATCGTCCCAACCCAGGAATCGAACCCAGGTCTCCCACATTGCAGGTGGATTCTTTACCCGTTGAGTCACAGTGGAAACCCAAGAATACTGGAGTGGGTAGCCTAAATAGAACTGGATAAATAGAATCTCAGTTACCAGGAAAATGAACAACACCTGTTGACCAGTAAATGTGGTGATCTGTAAGTCAGAAGAACATCGTGACTTCTGAGAAACTGCTCTTCTGATGGCCAAAAGGCCATCATAGTATCGCAAACAAAATAAGAATTTTATGTGAGGGAAAAATTGAGCAAACTTGGGCTATTCAAAACAAGAAGGCGAAGATAATTCCCTCACTTTCCTTGGCCATTTAATGTTTTTTCCACCATATCACCCTCTGCCCTTACTTACTGCCCTTACAAGAAAGACTTCCTGGGGCAGGGGGTGGTGGGGAGAGACAAGGAAAATATCTGATAGTGTGTTCTGAGTGAAAATGGAGACTGTCTCAAGTACCTTCACATAAACTGGACCATTCCTAGATTTAAATAAGAGGTTGAGTCAATTTAAGGGAGTTTTCTGAATTGTCACAATAGTTGCAAAAATCAGTAATCTATTTTTAAAACTCTTATTTTATATTGGAGTATGGTTGATCAGCAATGTTGTGTTAGTTTCAGGGATTCAGTTATACATATATATGTATCCTTTTTTGAATTCTTTTCTCGTTTAGAATATTGCAGAATATTGAGCAGAATTCCCTGTGCTATCCATTAGGTTTGTATTAGTTATCTGTTTTATATATAGCAGTGCGTACATGTTCATCCCAAACAATCCTTTCAACAGAGAGTGGGTTTTAATTGGAGAGAGGAGCTAAAGAAGTCACTGGATATTTTAAATATGGCTTTGAGTCATTGTAGAAACAGACTCAGATCAGACCTCAAATTATTATCACAGTTCACGTTGCCACAGGGCATAACAAGATAACCTGCCTCAAAAAAACGGAGGCTGCGGGGCCTAATTATTTGCTTCTCTCAGAAAGCGGTATCATTTACCTCTATGGTAGTCCTGACCCATAATTATCACCTTCTTTGTTATGGTACTTACGGACTCGACTGACTTGGCCTTCTTCACGGTGGTGATTTGACTGGTGATGAAGCATTTGTTTACATTCCTTCCCTGAAAAGAGCTTTCTCACCACACTGAGGCGCAGGTAGCGGTGACTGATAGCAAAGGGCCATTGCAAATTTTTTCTCAAAGATGAGGTAATGAGCAGTTGGGATCATGCTTCTAGCCTGAACCACCTTGAAAGATAACCTCTCATTCAAAAACATGAAGACATATGACAATTTTCTGTAGGCACCTTGGTCCTTCTCTAAATGACTGCAGTTGTTGAGCAGTTAAAACAAAGTCTGTGACTTTTTAAGTGACAGATAAGATACTTTTGTTTGCTAGTAGTAGCATTCTTTTTCTTCATAGCAGCATAAAATAGAATTATAAAAATATGTATGTACATATATACACACACATATGTAAAAATCTCTCTATGTAGATCATTTATTGCATAGAGAGTTTAAACTTTCAGTCCAGAAACACACATGTATTATTTATGTCCTTTCAAGACCAGTCATTCTGGGAAAAAGTATCTCAAAAGAAACATGAAAATGAAATAAAAAGCAATTTCAAAGTTTTTTAGGCTACAAGCACTCATTTTAATGACTGCCTTCAGCCCCCTCATATTGCCAAATATACCTATTTTTTCTATTCCTAAAAACTTTTGGAGTCCTAGAGGGAAAAAAAAAGCTTTAAAATATCCATACATCTTCATTGTTAAATTTGTAATTGCTAGGAATTCTTAGATGCCAAAAAATTGTGTGTGTGCTTAGTCACTTGTCATGTTCCACTCTTGGTGACCCCACGCACTGTAGCCCACCAGGCTCCTCTGTCCATGGAATTCTCCAGGCAAGCATACTGGAGTGGGTTGTCATTTCCTTCTCCAGGGGATCTTCCCCACCCAGGGATCGATCCTGCGTCTCTCATATCTCCTGCACTGCAGGCAGATTCTCTACCTCTGAGCCACCAGGGAAGCCCCACCAAAATATTGGTGTAATGTAATCACATTTTTAATCAATGAATCTTGATCATGATAAAGTTTCTTAACCATGTTTAATGTGCTCCCTTTGGTTCAAAACTGGTTATTTTGTTTCCTCACGGGTATACCTTTTCTTAGAAAGTTGTTGACCTTTCTGTCTGAGTGACTTAAAAGAAAATTTCCCATAGAAAGGAAGAGACATGCTTTGTAAGCTATAAAATTGCTTGATTTTATCCCAGTGCTGATTTTCACCCAAAATGCACTTTTGATTTTGTCTCTTGATGCAGACCTCTGATGCCTGAGGAATGCAGGGCCGCAGTCCAGCCCGCCCAGACCCTGACATCCGAGTGCTCCCGGCTGTGTCGGAATGGCTACTGCACCCCTACGGGAACGTGCTGCTGCAGTCCCGGCTGGGAAGGGGACTTCTGCAGAGTCGGTTAGTACTTCTGTTGTCCCTGGGAAAGAGAGGGCATGGGACAGCCTCTAGGAACTCAAGACCTGAACGTTAGTTATTTCTTCTAGAAGGATCTGATGTTCAAAGCTGTAGCCATTTACTGAAAAATAGAGCAACCATATGATCCAACATGCCACTTCTAAGTATTTATCCAAAGTAAGTGAAAAAAGGGTTTCAAAGAGATATTTATATTTGCATACCCATGTTTATAGCAGCATTATTCACAGTAGCCAAAATATGGAAACAATGTAAGTGACTGTCAGTGGATAAAGATGTCACACACACACACACACACACACACACACACATGTGACTGTTGTTCAGCTGTGTAGGAAATCTTGCCATTTTTGACAACATGGATAGACTTTGAGTACAGTATGTTAAGTGAAAAAGCCAGACAGTAGATAAATACTACATGGTATCACTTATATGTGGAATTTGTTTTTTTTAAAGTCAAACTCATAAAAACAGAAAAGTGGTTGCCTGGGGCTAGGGGTAATAGTGAAAGGCTAATAAAAGGGTATGAACTTTCAGCTATAAGATGAAACGGGGAAATTCCCCAGAGGTCCAGTGGTTAGGACTCCAAGCTTCCTGGGTGCTCAGGTTCGATATCTGCTCAAGGAGCTAAGATCCCACAAACCGAGAGGTACAGTCCCCCTCACAGAAAAAGATGAATAGAATAAAATTGTAGCCATTTACAATAATAGTAATGCTCAGCTTGTTTCTGAATTTATACATGAAGACTTTGCCATTTTCCTAACACAAACAATTCCTTTATATAGGTTAGTTATAAAGATAATTGAGTTCTTTCACAAAATCAAAAGTGAAAACAGCCCAACTAGTTCATCCTTGTGGGCTTTGAGTCCTGGATTAGAGATTTCAAACCTGCAGACTCATTGGAAAAGACCCTGATGCTGGGAAAGATTGAAGACAGGAGGAGAAGTGGGTGACAGGATGAGGTGGTTGGATGGCATCATCGACTCCATGGTCGTGAGTCTGAGCAACTCCTGGAGATTAGTGAAGGACCAGGAAGCCTTGTGAGCTACAGCCCATGGGGTCGCAAAGAGTCGGACACAACTGAGCGACCGAACAGCAGCAGCAGTGACCTGGTGTGTGCAGAGGCCCTTTCTGAGTGCCAGAATTTTTCAGACACTCCATATAGGCCCTCCCTCGGTTTTGTTGCTTGCTTCCTTGCTGCAGTGCCCTAAAATAGGGGTTTTCAGTTGGTGTTTTTATAGGAAAGGGGAAGATACAGTTACCTAGAGTCATCTTATGAGATTTTCTTCCTTCTTTTTGCCACTCCCTTGTCGACTGTCAGCTAGGTGTGCAGCTGCTCAGAGAGCAAAGGAGTTTCATTCCAGGGTTATTCTGTCCTTTAACTTGTGTCTTCCACAAATAGACGCAGTTGTGTTTAAATTCTACCTGTTGTGAAGACAGTTAGATTAATTTAGATACCTAGAGTTTAAGATGGGTATGTTGAAAGAACATTTTCAATAACCAGCATATTCGTGTGTTATTTACAAAAGATTTCAAACATTAAAGTCTCTCTTGCTGATAAAATTCTAAGTCCCATGTTAATATTTAAAAGTATCCATCATTCATAAAGGCCATCTCTCTTTATTCTAAACATGTATTTGTTTCAAAATACTATAGCCATACACTGTTTATATATTGTCAAAATAAAGTAGACAATATTTAAAGTCTCATAGACAGTATCCATTTTAAGCTTAAATTGCTTCAGCACTAATAATATTATGTGACCAATTGGTACCATGTTTACATATCTAGGAAAAAGTTATCATAATTGAAACAACAGAAATAAAATAATTACATTATTTAAAGAAAATATTCACATTCTATATTTTTTCATTAGTTGGCTAAAAAATGAGGATCAGTGTTTAAATGCAATAATATTCTAATTCCTGATGATATCTCTTCCCCCTGCTTCCTCTGATGCTTGATAATATCTTTTCTCTCGACTTGTTTTACCTGGTGTCCATTCTGTCTTATTCCTTACTTATATTTTGCTTATATTTGACTCTTAGGTCACCTCCAGTCATTGGATAAGAAAAATTTTTTGAGTTCCTGCTAGTAACAGTATGTTAAGTTGAGGGTAAACATAATTTTGAATATAGGTGGCTTCATATATACCATAATAGATATATGATAATAATATATGATATAAATGAAAATTTATATTTTCATAAATTATTTTCTCATCTTTTCCCTAAATCAGTTTAGATACTTTGAATATATAAGATTAAACCATAATCATTTTATTAAAGTAATTTTTTTTTTGGTGTTTTTGACCCAACCAAGAACTTTATTCATATACTCGCATAGTTTGCTCATCTCCCACAAATTTAAAAGACTATTGTAGTCTATTTTCTCCATGTTGTTTCTTTCCCATATACTAGCCACAGACCCCTGGATTGTTATTACTGCATTGGAAAAGGTTAAAAGAACTGTCCCTGAGAAGTATAAGGATATGTATTCAAGGAATTTGATTCTATCTACAGTGGCTGCACACCCCAGATTCATCCTATCAGTAAGAGACTAAGTTATAGGCTCAATTTTATGTCTCCACCTCATTTTAACAGTACATACTTACATTCCCTACCTATATTGTAGTGGTAAGCATTCTTTTCTGAGGCAGTCCTGTGCTATAAAGTACCCTGAAACGGATTGCTCAAAACATCTTTCACTAGCCAACCTCACTGACTCCCCCCAAGAAAGGGCTTCAAGGTGTAATCAGAAATGAGACACATGCTGTGCACCCCCTGGGAACAAGGAAAGGGAAGAATCCAAGGGAATCCACATAATGGATCCTCCCTCCAACCAAAATAAAAAACGAACCATTTCTGGCTGTTAGACTGTTGATGTTCCAGCCTCTGGGTCTTTCTCTCTGGCCACGCCCTTCCCACTGTGAGGTCCTAGCTAGGAGGAATGGAAACCAGAGGTACTTGGAAGACTTTCTGTTGGAGATGCCCTAGGGAAACAGAAGTTTTAAAGAACTGAAATTCGATATTATTGTTCACTCACTAAGTCATGTCCAACTCTTTGTAACCCCATGGCCTGCAGCGCACCAGGCTTTACTGTCTCCCGGAGCTTGCTCAAACTCATGTCTGCTGAGTTGGTGATGCCATCCAACCATCTCGTCCTCTGTTCTTCCCTTCTCCTTCCTGCCTTCAATCTTTCCCAGCATCAGGATCCTCATTTTACATAAAGTCAATTCTATAATGGATTGAAATTGTTTCCCATGATCTGGGTGATCTGCTTCTCTAGAAATATCTCCCACTGTCTGCTGCATTCTGGCCCCCAAATAACTGGAAGTCCAAAATCTTCTTTCTTTGTATTTATTAGCTTTGGGATCATTTTGGGACTGCTCTTCTCCTCTTTCCCTCCCTTCCCTTACTCATCAAGTATTTATTGGCCTCATATTCAGTGCCGTTTCTGACCTACAGAATGGAACGTGATTTTATTGCTCTTTTTCTTCTTCCAGCGAAATGTGAGCCAGCGTGTTGCCACGGTGGTGTCTGTGTTAGACCCAACAAGTGCCTCTGTAAAAAAGGATATCTTGGTCCTCAATGTGAACAAGTGGACAGAAACCTCCGCAGAGTGACCAGGGCAGGTATTCTTGATCAGATCATTGACATGACATCTTATTTGTTGGATCTAACAAGTTACATTGTATAGTTTCTGGGACTGTTTGACTATTCCTTTCCAGTGGGCATTTATTTTTTTATCCTGTCATTAAAAAGAACAACTGTTATCTTGCTACACACTCCTGTGATTTCATTTTCTTTGATTAATTTAAAAGTCATTTCCAGAAATGTGCAGGTCTTGTGTGTGTATATTGGCATGTTTGTTCACATATGCACATATACACACACACTCAAAAACCTTATGCGTGTGGTTGCATAATAGATGGGTTTTAAAAATATGTATTTCCTTGTGTGGAGTAATTTCCCTGGAAATTCTATTGTAAATTGATAACTGCATTTTTATGTCACCAGAAGAGATGATTTGACTTCCCAGGAATTTTCTGTCTGTAATCACTGAAGTCTACTTCAATGGAGTTTTAAAACATTACTGTGCAATCTGATGGATTGAATTTTAAAAGGCCATATTTTTATATTAATATTAAAGGACTATAATATGAGAGAATGTTTCAGCCCTGATTAATTTCTAAGTGGGCAATGGTATAAAATTATAATCTGCATTTTTATCAGTGTATCCGATTATAGAATGTTAACGCACTTACCTTTTTATTGGCAGAGAAATCTGGTTACTCTAGCTTAATTTGAAGATAGTTTTCAAGTGTTTTCTAATTAAATCATAACAGCATATTCTAAAACCAATCTTCCTAAAAGGTCTGCTTTTATTGTATAGTTTATTTAACAATAGGCACTGGGTTTGTGTTACATATTTATATTTTTTATTTTATTTTTATAATATAGACATCACCTAGATGAAACACCTTTACCCTGTCCTGTAAAATACTAAAGTTACATTTTTCACCAACTTAATTGGAAAGAAGGGGAGTGAGAAAGCAAACAGTCTTTAATGTGCTGTGGATCTAATCTAGCAATGTATCCTTGTGCCAACATGTAATCATTAACGACGGATGAAAAAGCAAGAAAACAGCCACTCATTATAAAATTCCAGCATTAAACATTCGTAAAATGCTTTTCACCATAGCAAGCCCATCAGAGTATATGTGATTAGAATGTTGTGGGTTTCACACTGAGTCGAACCTCACTGGAAAAAGAGTTCACTCGTTTTGAACAAATCTTGCCTATGTAAGCTGTCACTTGTACGAATTTTTAATATGCTCATTCTTGCCAAATATGACTTTTAATGTGTACATTCCTTCAGAACTCAATGAAAATCCTCTCTGGTTCATGTATGAATAAATTTCCTGTAAATGTTCTTTTGGGTTTTTCAAGAAATGCCATGTTCTAACTTAAACTGCAGAAACTCAGGTAGACTCTTCTCTTCGTGGTTTTTGAAGTCAGCCTGCCATGTTTGGATTATAAAGAGTTATCAGGGCATTTTGCACCACTGAAGGAACATCGACTCATGTCGCGTGGGCCCCCACTTTCGGTTGCCCTTCTTTAACATCTGTCCCTCCAGAGTCTAAATTGTAGAGCAGGGCAGATTATACAACACAGATTGACTTCCCAAACCTACTCCTTACCTTTAAGAACAGGAGCGTCAATTAAAAAAAAAAAAAATCTTGCAACTCATATTTGTTGATTGTTGGAAGGCGAGAGATTTGCAGTGAAAGCACAGTGAGAAACGACCAAGTAGAAAGTTTGGTTAAGTACCCTGTTCTTGTCTGCCATATATGATTGCTTAAGTTTCAAGTGACCTCATGCCCAATGGAAATGGGTTGACAAGTCTTGGTTCAGTGCTTAGTGAACAATAGCCTGCATTAAAAAGTGCATGCATAATTTTGCACAATTTAGGTTTCAATGGACAGTCTATTCAAAGAAGTCTCAGGATTAAATGAGCATGGAGACCAAATTGCCCTCTTACCCCAGGAAAGGGGTGGGCCCTTCCAGTCACACGAACACTTCATTGGCCCAGCAGTGTGACAAATCTTGCAGTGAACCCTGCCGTAGCCCGCATCTGTAGGTTAATAGCAGTCTTTTGTCCCTGTGGCTTTCTCTTCATAGCCCTTTTACTGAATTCCATCACAGAAAGTTTTACAATTAAAAAAAAAAATGTCCTGACAACCATTTTTGTAAATGGACCCTACCATCTCCTCATCTCTTATTCAACGTGGGTGACATTCACAAAATGTGAGCTTCTTGTGAGGGAGCCAGCTGTCTAAATCTGTCAAATCGTGCAGTTTTATTACATTCTCCTGTTCATAGTTTCACTGAAAACAATAAGGATGCTGCCGTATATTCAGCCAAATTAAAAAAAAAAAAAAAAACATTTTTTCTGACATCTTGAATCTTTCCATCTTTTCCAAAAGAATCTTTATAAAAGAAAAAATGTTCTATTGTCATTAGTTCTCCTACTTAAAAATACCGAGATTAAGTTGACCAGACCCAGCTTTTTTTTAGATAGTCCTTTCCCAAGTGAAAGAGTTTCAAATGACTTAGAAAAACATATGTACCCCAGGTATCATTGCCTTTTCTATGGGGAGTCATTAGAATAAAAGATCAAAATTTTCTAAAAAGAAAACAGATCCACTGACATTAAACCCCAGCAAAGACAGTCATTGGAATCATTTCTTTCTGTTCTTAGGAAAGAACTAAATAGCAAAGACAGATTAATACCTACATATTTTAAACTAAGTGATCATTTTTAAAAAAACTTTTGACCTTTCCTTTCAAGTAGATTTTAAATATATATGTGACTGAGAATGATCTTAAATAATTCATGATGAGAGAAAAGTAGGAATTGGTTAAAAAGTATGAGCTAGGGAAAAAGAATTGTTTCATCACATGAATGGCAATATATACTCAGTAAAAAAGCACATAATCAAAATGAAAGAAAATGTCCTCTGTATGAATATAGATGTGGGAGATAAAGATACAATAAACATAAAAATGTAAATTATTATTCCTTTTTTCCATTCTAGAGCTTAAGCTTTGGGGATCAATTTAATGTAAAATGCTATGATGGTAGTTATAAAGAGTTGGGGCAAAATATTTTCTGCCACTGCTTCTAACAAACTCTTGTTCTGGTTGATAGAACTTTGTTTTCTTGCTAGTTATTTGAGGTAATACGAAGACAACTGAATTGACACATCATTAAAGTACAAAGAAGGGAAGATTTAAGAAAGTTGAATAATGATAAAAAGGGCTTCCATCTATACCTTTCTTTTTGGAATTTCCCTTCAATATGGCTAAAATATGTAAAATATACCTTTTATTTTATCACAAAGAATACTCAGAAATTTTTTCAGATTAATGGACTATCTCATAAAGAAGAGCAAAGAAACCTACACATACAACCTAAATAGAAAGCCATTCTCCTTTTCATTTATATATTTAAGAGTAAGCACTTCTCTATTTATTTATTTGAAAATAATTACATAATAATGTACTAACAATTTTTAACAATTTTGTAATATTGTTTTTATCTCCAAATCATAAACTAAAAGGAAATCTCCTAGGTTTAGGATCTTAGGTTAGATGCTGCATCTAGGGTCTTTCAAAGTACACATTAATTTAAACTGTATTAGTTTCTTTTAGTTTTGAAACATAAAAACTAAGCCTAAATTTTTAAGAGGAAAAATAAGGTATATTATAGGCATTTATATTTGGCTGCTCAATAAATTAAAGTTTCTGAGCATCTCTATAGAATGTTACCTATGATATCTTTCTCTCTCTTTCTCTATCTTTTTTCTCCCCCCACCATACATCCCTTTTCTTGTTAACCTCTCTCTTCTCTGCTTCTATTGGTTTTGACTAAACAGAGATGTTCTCAAGACACTAATGAAGATATCCTAGAGCAGGTTGCTACTGATTTTGCCAGTTATGATCTATATTTTCCTGAAAAATTCCTCTCCTAGTACCACATTTGTTCAAACTCTAAATCATAAAGAACAGTAGACAAATTATGAACAGACTAGACTGACCTATTGCAATCATTGAAAGAAGTGACAGAAAGTGTACATGACTCCCAGCCTAGATGTCCGAACTCAGCTGGGGTTCCATCTTGGATGCTAGAAATAATGTCCCCAGTCCAACAGTGTGAGTTAACAATAAGGAAAGTTAGCAGCTATTTCCTTTTCAAACAACAACCATCTCTATGGATGGTTGAATAATCTTAAGTAAGACTATCCCAAATCTATGAGGGAAAAATTAAATAGTCCCTCCATGGAGGCTTCAGAGTCTTTTTACCCCACCCTTGGAATGAAATATGAACTTGCAGAGAACTCAGACCAAAGTTCCATGCCTTGAAAATGTGCCCATTTCTTTATTACCTCCAAGAAGTTAGTGGGCCTGTTACTGTGACTATAGACAACACCTCTAGAAAGTTTCTCATTAGAATATCCTAAAGAAATATATTCTATCTTACCTTCTTTCTCTTTATCACACAAACACAAATTAGTCATACCTTTTATAATTAATATGATGCGGAGAAGGTGATAAACCTAATAATAGAAGCATTTGATATTAAAAATATTAAAAACATGACCATAAAACCTGCTGGACATTAATCCTAACCAGTTGCAACACTTCTTCCTCTTAATAGTCACTCATAAGTTTTGAAAATTGTCTTAAAATAACTGTTTTGGGGAGTGCAGTGTACTCAGGAGAGCATGAGAAAGTGTTGTGGTATTTTCTTCTCAATCATAGTGATTATTTCCCTAGTGACTATGAAGAGATTTACTTATCAGATTAGCTCTTTTGATTCATTAACTGTGAACCCAAGATAAACCCAAAAGAAAGATACACTCTTTTTTTTGTATAGATCTACAAGTTGATTGATAGCAATAAAAAATAATGATCCCTTGTATTAACATAAAGTGTAAGCTTAAAACTTGTCACTGCTTTTAACAACAACAAAAAAATGATGCCAGCTCTACATGAGTTCTAAGGTACATCTCATGTGTATCACAAAGTCAGACATCGAATTTTGGTCAGGATTTTTTTGCATATGTAGATTTTATATTACTTATACACGAGCAAATTAATATAAGTGTTTCGTCAGTTATTTCAATTGACTAT